GTGTGTGTGTGAGAGAGAGAGTGTGTGTGTGTGTGTGTGACTCTGACCTCAGCGTTTCTCTCTCTGGCCTCAGGTCGTCATGGAGACAGCGGTTACTGGCCTTCTGACAATAACCCGATTGACATGAGCAGCCTGAACGGTGAGAATGATCTTAAATGAGCAGAACATCACAGCTGTTACTGTCAACACACGTACAGTAAACATCTAAACACTAAAACAATGCTGCTGAGCACAAATATGCAATGCTATTTTCAACATGCAATAGCAACATGAAATCAAGGTCAACTCTGAGTTTACTGACTGTGTTAATTAATGTTCCTGATCTTAATGTGAATGATTCATCAGTGGCAAAATTCTGAAGAAAGAATGTTTGTCTTTAGAGTCTTTCATCAGTAACTTCCTCCACCTGAGAAATGACTTTCCTCTTTATCTGTAGTTCAGTCTGTGCTCTGAATCTTCTGCTCGTTTCATTTGCTGTTTAGCTCAGAAATACACAGTCAGAAAGATGTTTAACTGTTTTCTGGAAGAAATGAATGCTTTTATTCATCAAGGATGCATTAAATTGATCAAAAGTGACAGTAAAGACATTTATAATAATTCTATTTCAAATAAACGCTGTTCTTTTGAACTTTCTGTTCATCTGTGAATCCTGAAAAATAAAATGTAACAGTTTCCACAGAAATATTGTGCAGAACGACATGTTCAACATTGATAATAATCAGAAATGTTTCTAATAATCAGCATATTATACTGATTTCTGAAGATCATGTGACACTGAAGACTGGAGGAATGATGCTGAAAATACAGCTGCGCATCACAGGAATACATTACAGTTTAACAGAGATTCACATAGAGAACAGTTGTTTTACATTTTAATAATATTTCATATTTTTTCTGCACGTTTGATCAAATAAATGCAGCCCTGGTGAGCAGAAGAGCCGTCTTTCAAAAACTGACCCCAATCTTTTGATAGTGTTAGCATATAGAATATATGAGGCATAAACAGACATATTTTTACAAATAAATAAATAAACAAATGCGTTTCAAAAGACATAAATACACAAAGTACAGATATTAAACATTAGGGCATGTGTATGTGTGAATGTGTGTGACCAAGGCAGTGTAAAATATTAATTTGCGTATGCAATAAAGTGTAAAATAAACAGTGAAATAATTACCCTTTTAACAGTCATAATCACGGTAAACTCGTATTAATTCCTCGTTTGGATTCTAAAGCTCAGTCGCCTGTGGACTGATTATAATTGCCAAGCAACATGATGATTAGAGATTATCTATAAACATGATCAATTCAGACATGTAGAAGTCAGCAGTTATCATCCACTGGTGCTCATGGCTTGTGTTTTAAAGCCACAGTTCCCCCAAAAATGAAAATTCTGTCATCATTTACTCACCTTTTTTCTGTTATTGCACCTAAAATGTAGAATAGCCTTCCGTTATGCGTTAGAACTGCTCAAACACTTTCTGATTTTAAATTCAAGTTAAAAACTCATTTGTTTTCTTTAGCTTTTAATGCATTGAAGAGATTAATATAATCTCTTTTATCGTTTGTCTTGTCTTGAATGTTGTAATACTTGTATCAATGTAAAGCACTTTGGTCAACTCTGTTGTTTTAAATTGTGCTCTAGAAATAAACAAAAGAGGAAATTTTGAAGAATATTTGTGACCAGACAGATGACAGTAGCCATTGACTTTCGTAATATTTTTTTCTTACTATGGAGGTCACAGATATTATTCAAAATATCTTCTTTTGTCCTCAACAGAAGAATGAGCTCACACAGGTTTGGAAGGACATGAGGGAGAGTAAATAATGATGAAAATGAACCGTACCTTTAAGCGACTGAACATGATGTGGGTGAAGATTTTAATCAAAATCTCTCATTTATCTGAAGTGCTGATGAACACAGGGGACCAAACCGACACACACACACACACGCACACTCTCACACACACACACACACACTCTCACACACACACACACACTCACTCTCACACACACACACACACTCACTCTCACACACACACACACACTCACTCTCACACACACACACACACTCACTCTCACACACACACACACACTCACTCTCACACACACACACACACTCACTCTCACACACACACACACACTCACTCTCACACACACACACACACTCACTCTCACACACACACACACACTCACTCTCACACACACACACACACTCACTCTCACACACACACACACACTCACTCTCACACACACACACACACTCACTCTCACACACACACACACACTCACTCTCACACACACACACACACTCACTCTCACACACACACACACACTCACTCTCACACACACACACACACTCACTCTCACACACACACACACACTCACTCTCACACACACACACACACTCACTCTCACACACACACACACACTCACTCTCACACACACACACACACTCACTCTCACACACACACACACACTCACTCTCACACACACACACACACTCACTCTCACACACACACACACACTCACTCTCACACACACACACACACTCACTCTCACACACACACACACACTCACTCTCACACACACACACACACTCACACACACACACACACACTCTCACACACACACACACACACACTCACACGCACACTCACACACATACTCACTCACACTCACACGCATACACACACACACACACACACACACTCACACACACACACTCACACACATACACACACACACACACACGCACACTCACACACTCACTCACTCACACTCACAC